AGTTGTTTTTTAAGGCCTTTTTCTATGACTTTACTTATAATAGGGGTTATAGATATTGGTCTATAGTTACCAGGGTTATTATGACAGCCTTTTTTGTGTATAGGTAACACCCGTAATATTTTTAAGCATGATGGAAAAGTAGCTTTTGTCAGTGTTAATAAGCTTCGTTAAAGGAACAATAATTAAATTTAGTAATGTTTTTAGAATTTTAGAATTTAAGTGGTAAAAATCAAGACTTGTAGAATTATTTAAGTTTTGAATAATTTCTTTTATCTCAATAAGGGTAAATTCAGAAAACTTAAAATTGGGACTAGTAATATTTCCAAGAAAGCTCTCATAGTATTCGTGTGTATTAGAAGGATTATTTAAGGAATTTACTATATTATGGGGAACATTAGCAAAATAACTATTAAAATCATCTGGGGATACGTTACAACAGTTATTTGTGGTTTGTTTGGGTCGGTTTTTGTTTATAATTTTCTAACTTGCTTGGCAAGCGTTAGTTATTTTTTTTTTATTAAAGAGTCATTTGATAGTTTCTTGGTCAAGTTTAATTCTTTTCTGTAGTGAAATTTATATCCTTTAATATTATCAAGTATGTGTGTATTGCAAGAAAGTATTTAAATCTATCTTCGATGCAAATGGATGGTTCTGAAATAAAGCTCCAATTTACTTGTTCTATATGCCTATATAGTTTAAAGAGGCCTAGTTGAGTAATAGGTCTTGCAGTTTTTTGTGAAGTCATATTAGTCTCAAGTTGGAGATTAAACTTTAGAGTAAGTGCATAATGATCCGATAAATTCAATTCTACAATATCAGATGACAAATATTCTTCTGCTATAATTGTAGTCAAGATGTTATCGACACAGTTGTGGGCATTTGTGTTATTTTTAATTATGGTTGAAAAATTGTATGAGGTTATTAAATCCATAAATTCTTTCTTACTTGTACTATTTTTATTAACATGTATATTAAAGTCACCAACAAAAAAAAATTAAACGTTCAGAATATTGGAACTTGCCTCCAGGAAAGCACTAAAATCACCATCAGGAGATCTATAGATAACAATCATAATCAGATTTAACAAGTCGCACTCTAGCCCACAAAACTCATGGTTAATTTCATTAGAATAGTCATACAAAATTTTTATTGGTCTACAAAATTGGCTTATATGTGTAGATATATACACCGCCATGCATGTGTTTAGACCTAGAGAAATTACTAAGCAAGGTGTAACCTTGTATACAAAAAAAAGACAAAAGTGCTCTTTTAGTTCCACCCTTACCACCCAGAAGCCAACTGAATGGCTTGAGCGGGTTAGGGGTAGGAACGGACCGCGGGCTTAAAGTCCCCTCCGAAGGACTATTACACAATACGACAAACACAAATAAACAGCCATTCGAACCCACGACCTCCAGCTTGTAGTCAGCAGCACTAACCACTAGTCCACCGTCCGCGATATTTGAATACATAATTTCATCTTTGTAAAACCAATGTTGGTTACATAGGTTGCCTCTGGCCAGAGCTCTGGACGCATGACCTTTTCATAATTACCCAGATTTACGCTTATCTTAAATGACACATAATGCTGTGGATATTTGGATGTGACTGAACTGCAGACTATTTATGGAAAACTTTCCTTTAGGTAGCTTTCAATATCTGTTGTTTTTGTTTCCGGTTGCAGTCTGGAAACATATGTGTCATTTATATAGGCAAATGCCTTTTTTGGGACAACTTTGAGAGAGCATATTGTGGAATTTTTTAGATTTCCTATGATTTCAGTTTTATTTGCTTTTGGTTTGTTCTTTTTTAACAACTTCTTTTTCTCCTTGAATGTCTCCTGACTTTGGTTAAATTAATTATTTGCTCACATATGGCTTTACTTTTTGCTTCCAGTATAGCGGAAGAGACTGTTTTTGGGACAATTGGTTTATTTAAAGTGGAAGCTTTTGTTTCCTGAACTTTGGTATTAACAATTTTATTTTATACACTTTTTTTATTTTGAAAATTTTTGTTATTTTGTTGACTTTTAGTAGTAGCTTTTTTAGTTAAATTTATATTATTTTCTAAATTAATTAGCTCTTTTAGTGAATCTATTGTTAATTTTTGGCTATTCATTAACTCATCTTTGTGTTTTAAAATCTCTTTTAAATATGTAGTACATTTTAACCGGATAATACAGTTGGTTCAATACCCTAAAGTGAACAGCTGTGAACATTCTTGAGTACTCTCCTTCGTGACAGCAATTCATAACGTTTTCATTGATAACTTTTACTTTTTTAGCACAACTTAGGTGCATAACTAATACATTTAAGGAATTCCTTTGGTATCGATTTGCATCTTCCGCATTGTTTACTTGTTAAATCGGTTTTCTTCATAGTGACAGCACAGCCCTGCGCGTCAAAGCACAAAACAGACCTCGCACAGACCACGGCGACTCCAGTTTAATTTCAGGTCGCGACACTTTTATTTTGGTTTTATATAAAGTTTTTTATGTTTAGAGTTTTTACATTACCCTTTTTATTCGTTCTAAAAGTTTTTTAATGCAATATTACAATTTGTTTCAACTAAAAAATCTATAAATCTATTTTCACATTACATAAACACATAATGAAAATTTAACTAAGGTAATTGGAAAAAAGCTACTAATTGTGAAAAATGCGAATATTTTTTTTTCTGTTAGGTTTAGGTATATATATAAATATATATATAATAAAATGAAAGGTAATTACTTATTCTATCCAATTATGCAAAAATATATAGGGTGTTCCATTGAATAAAAACAAGATTTTAAACTTATAAAATCGCTATTTTCAACGGGACATAGAAAACACCCTGTATGATATTTTCCAAAAAATATAATAATTAACTTATAGCTTACTTATTATTAAAGAGATGGATACTACATAATATAAAAAATAATAACTTTTAGTTGGTTTTTTTTTAACTTTTAGCGAGTGTCTACATTTAGAAAAATTTTAATAAATCTTAATTTTACTCAAAAAGTATTAACATTTTCTTATTTAATATATTTACAAAGTATACCTAAAAGAGTGGGAAGAATCCAAAAATGCAAAAAAATACAGGGTGTTCCATTGAAAATAAGAAAGTTGGTATCGTCCCTAGGAAAACCGAACACCCTGTATAAATGAAAATATAATATTTTAAAAATAATTTTTACTTCGTGAATATTTGTTCCTTACAAATTTTTTGTGACTCCAGTAGTTTCTGAGATAAGTATATGAGTCACCTTACGTGGACCACCCTGTACATTAGGGTGTCCGTTATTTCCCAAATTGATTTTTTCTTGGCTATCGCCCCCTAAAATTTTAGTTTATAGCCTAAAAAAAAATATCCAACATAGATATGCTCTTAATTCCTGAATTAAACCGTGCCGAAATCGTGTTACTTTTCCCATTTAATTAACATGGGATTTTTTGACTTTTTACTTTTAATTTTTTTTATCAGGAACAAATAGGTGGAAAAATCTACTCATCGAATATTCTGATAGGAAATTTAACGCTCTACAAAAAAGTCCTCTTATAAATTTTTGATTAAGTCACTCCGTTAAAAGTTATTCACCGTTAAACTTATATTTCATATCAATTTTGTAATATTTCAAATTTTATTCTAATTTTTGCGTTTTATCACGGTAAAATCGTTGAAAGAAAAGATTAAAATTGTATTAAACAGAGTACTGATGATGTTAAAGGAAATAATATTCCTTTCTTCACACAGATGGACCTAAAAATGGACATTGTGGGATAAAAATATAAAATTATACTGTCAATCACATTATCAGTTGGTTTATTGTCATTTTTACTTCATTTACATCTCTTTCGTTAGGCAAGCTTTAGTCGCATTGGGATATTTTGATTTGTACTCACTCACAACCTGTATTAAGTATTGTTTTTGGTCTTCTCCTGTTGTTAAAATATTAATATATTCTTGGGTTAATTTCACAGCTCTTTCGGCGACATCATTAATGACTTGTAGATTATTAACAATCCTTAAACCCTCCAAATAATTATCATTGTTAGCCCACGTGTCAACATCCAACTTCAAAAAATCTCCACTAATATTGAATCTATCAAACAATCGCAACGAATTTGAATTTATAAAGTAATCGAGGTCTTTTTTCTGTAAACTTGCAATTTCACTAATAGTATTTATTCCATAGCGCTTGAACGAATCAAAATCGTCATTTTCATTTTTTTTAAGGCCTCGATCATCTTACGTTTAATGGAAGTAGATATGTTTGGATCAAAAAATGAAAAAGCAGCTGTCTCACTATTTAAATACCAGAGATGGTTTTTGAATTTATGTAAAACAGCTTCAGATATTTGTTTGTCAATCGTCTTATATTGAAACACAGCTTTCAAGAACATCAAATCTTGATTTGGAGCCAACGCCGCTAGAGGTGCTTCAAACCAAAATGGCACATAAATGAATACAATAAATAAGCAAATATCCAGAAGACTTTTTTTCGTGTTATCATCTAATTCAATAATATCTCGGAAAATGTAAATTTTGAGTGAATAAATCGCCTTAGACATCCAGCGGGCGTGATGATATGCTCCTGGCTTGTAAAATTTAACTTTTTCGGCATCCATAGTACCAAGAAATATTTGGCATAGCTCTAAGAGCTCCTTATAGTCATCACGAGGCAATATCGTACTCGTAAATTTTTAATTTTATTATTCGTTTCATCAACCATACCTAACAATTTTCGAGGAATTTTATTACCAACTAATCCATTTTTATACGTGCTTTGATCAACTGTACTCCAACTTTCTTGAAAGCTCTTAAATAATTTAACTGGTCCCTCTGTGCCTGGTATTTTAGTCGTAAAAACACAAAACAATACTAACTCGTAAATATGGTGCCTAAATGGTAAATATAAAAGGTCGGTTTGTAACATTTGTTCCAGGTGAATCGCCGCTCCATTCCGACAGCCAAGATTTGAAGCGGTAGTGTCACAACAGATTGCTTTAATGTTTTCAGTAATTCCCCAATCTTCCAATTGCTGTAAAAATTGCTTCTGCCTGAGTCAATCCTTTTCCATCTGGTAGTGCAGGCACGTTTAAAATTTTTTCAGTAGTAGTACTTCTCACTATTATCGGAACCCGGTCAACTTTTTCACAGGATAAACGATCAGGTATCAATTTTCCATCCCAATGGATAACCGCTGGACCAACATCAATGTCACCAAACCTTTTTTTCATTTTTTCAGCAGCATCCTGGCGGATTTTTGATCTGTATTCATTAAATGAAGTCTTATTAAGGATTAAATCAGTGGTATCAACCCCAAGAGCTGTTGCTATTGATGATATCACTCGTACAGAATTCCTATAGGAAATTCTGCAACTATCTAACGTCGCAACGACAGCTTCAGTGAGAATATTTATCCTTCCTCTTTCATGTTTTGGTTCGTAGTTGCGTCCTTCTAATTCGAACGTTGATGATGTGCTTTGCTGAGACGTAGACGTTGTTTCACCGCTCAAAATCTGCTCGCTTAAGCTTTTTGAACTCGAAGGTAACGTCAGATCTAACATAAATAAAAAACAATTATTACAATATTACTCTTATCGAGTAAATAAAAATCTTGTTTAAATAAAAACTTTGATAAGTTACCCGACGTTGAGCGATTATTGGTAATTGTAGAATCACCGTAGTTTACACAAATTTCGTCTTCATCAATAGATTGGACCACCGCGATATTGTCGTCTTTTTCAAAAATAGGGTTTTCTAGAATAAGTTATACCATAAATTAATCAAGAAATATTTTACTAATTACTTATAAGTATACAGTATTTTTTTTTCAAGTCTTAATAATTGTAATTTAATTATAACTTATATTTTAGCAGCAACTTACCAATCGACTCGATGGAATCTTTGTCTCGTTTATTAATGTATAAATGATATTTTCTCACCGTCTTTTGATCGTCTAAAAATTTCAAGACGTCATTACTGACTGTATGTTGAGCATCACCATGTGTAATATCAAATAACTTATCTAAATATTCTGAAAACTCTTTCACGACATCTGATAAATTTGTACTTGTTTGTGCATTTCTGTAATTGGTGTAAAGTTTTTCTAATTTCGCTACACATCTTGCATTGTATTGCACTGGAATGCCTGCCTTACTCCAAAATTTTGACACTTCATCAATAACGAGTCGGTAGCTTTCTGCAAGTGTTTTTTTAGATACTCTACTATGATAAAATAATAATCTTAGCACTTGCTTATTTGTCGGTAGTTTATTACCACTGATAGAGTCAGTTGGTTCACCCAAAAATACCATAGGATTTCGTAAATCCATTGTAGTATTCTTTGTGACAGGAATGACAAATCAAAATATGTTGAAGTAAAATAGATTGTGTACTATAAGAAGTTAGATTTGATGAAGTAGTAATTGTGCTCAACTTCACATAGATGGCAGTAGGCGAAATAGTGAAAGTTTGAAGATAAATTCCCATTTCACTTATATTTTTCAGTTAATTGGGATAAAATTCACTAAGTCAGTACAAAATATTGATTCAAATACTAAAATTTACTCTGGATAAATTGAATTTTGAATTTACTACAAATACGGACGTTATTTCTTTTAAATTTCGAAAAATAATTAATTTGCTTAAACTTTCAGTTCAAGCCATAAAATCCACATGAATAATCATCAGTACTCTGTTTAATACAATTTTAATCTTTTCTTTTAACGATTTTACCGTGATAAAACGCAAAAATTAGAATAAAATTTGAAATATTACAAAATTGATATGAAATATAAGTTTAACGGTGAATAACTTTTAACGGAGTGACTTAATCGAAAATTTATAAGAGGACTTTTTTTCAGAATATTCGATGAGTAGATTTTTCCACTTATTTGTTCCTGAAAAAAAAAATTAAAAGTAAAAAGTCAAAAAATCCCATGTTAATTAAATGGGAAAAGTAACACGATTTCGGCACGGTTTAATTCAGGAATTAAGAGCATATCTATGTTGGATATTTTTTTAGGCTATAAACTAAAATTTTAGGGGGCGATAGCCAAGAAAAAATCAATTTGGGAAATAACGGACACCCTACTGTACATACACTATTTACAAATTATTAAAAATCTTTGATAATAAATCACAATTTAAATACAATATTGCTCTGCATTTATCGGAGCACATAAAACACACAACCGATAGCCACAAATTGTATTTTTTAGAAAGCATTTTTAGAAACATTTGTTTATTTTTATTATAAAAATGATTACATGTAAGAATGTAAGTATAAAGCCAATAATCATGGAGTTTTATTATTATTGTAGCTAAATTTAGTTATTTTTGATATAGTTGGTTATCTTTAATATACATGTATTTTTAATTTTTGTAATCAAATTGATTGTAAAAATATTTTTATAATGAATTTGATGACAACAATTAAAAATAGGTTATACTTGCTTTAAACTCATTTTAGTCGAATAATAAACCTTATTTTTAATAACCTAAATCTAATTATTTGATAATAATTATTGTTATATGTTCATATTAATATTAGATTTTTTGTGTGTACGCTAACATTTGTGTTACCCGCCTATGGTTATTTACGAGCACTACTCTTCCAAGGTCAACTAAAAATCCGCACACTAATTATAATTGGGGGTACGCCAAGTCTATGCTGATAATTATCACACAAAAAGTATAGGTTTTTTTTAGGAATTCGTACGACTTCGTACAAGCGAAAATAACCGTAAATGTAAACTTTAACCCGCGCTAAATTTTATTAAAATCTAACAAAAATTGTTCGCAAAACAGCACTTTGAACTTCGTTAAAAATATTAATATTTATTTTCGGATTCAGGGGACAATTTTACACAAGAATTTGATGTAAATGTTAGGGATACCATGGTATCCCATGTTTAACCATGGTATAAGTGAAAAAGCAGCAACCAATAACTGTGGTAATTAGTAATTTTTGCTAATTTATTTTTAGAGAGAATAATCCTTGGTTAAAGTATTTGATTAAAAAAAATATAAGTAGAAATTTAAATGTTTCATATCGAAAAAAAAAACCGATTAGACCAATGTAATTAAAATAAAAAATGCACTAAAAATGAAAATATGAATAATTAATTTACATCTTAAAAAAATTATTTTATGCGAGGGGTTTTGTGAATATTTGAAGTTTATTCTTATTTAGGCGCCCTAAAGACTGTAGGGAAGCTCGTCTCCAAATTATTGATCTAACCAAAGACACAGTTGGGGAATGCTCAGAGGCGGAATTAAATTTGATGAAAAACATAGCTATTATAATATACTATTTTTTTTAAAGAAAAAATATTATTTTTAATAATAATATAAAAATATAAATAAACTCATTATTCACGTTGTTAAGCATCAGTAATTGGCCCATTTCAATATTCACTGTGATTTAAACCAATCGGGTTTTAAATTGGAAAAAGGCGACTATAATAACATTTCAAATTCGTAAAAAGTAAGGTTAACCATTTGACAGATGTCAGATTTTATTTATTTCATTTTGAAAATCATTTAATTATCTGATTATTGGAGTAGATAAAGGATAGTATTATACTCAAGATTATGCGCAATATTCATTCAGATGATTTAGGAAAACCTCATCCTCTTAAATAATAGCCTGCATTATCTCTCGTATAATATACTATTAAATAATTAAATTGAATAGTATATTCTGTAACAAGTTTGTCACACGAGCCGAAGGTGAGTTTGACGGTTTCACGAGAGGGGAATATGCAATTCCAAACGTGTTTCAGACTATACTTTTTCTACGTTTCCAAAAAATACGATAGACAAATAATTTAATTGGAAGAAAGTGAGGTTGGATCGGTCTAAAATTTGTTTGATATCAAAAACAGAGATGTCGCCACGAGTGTTTATTCTGTCATCAGATGATAGAATATTTCATTCTGTAACACTTTACGGAATATATGTCATTCCATAGATAAAAGTGATATTAGAACGGTCATATTCCATAATAGAAGTAGAAAAACAATATTATGTAACTAGTACTTTGTACTTACTCATTGTTATTTAAATATACAATAAACAATAATTGTATAACAAATTATTTATAAGTGTGCTTTTACACCAACCTAGCGACTTGATGCCTGAAAGCAGAAAGGATTCTACTTGATTTAAAGCACATATAAACACGCCGAATATTGCGGATGTAACAAACTAACGACGGATGTACAAACTAACTAAATTTTAAGACTAAAAAGCAAAAAATAAATAATAAGTAATATAAAAAATCTATAAACACGCTTTAATTCAATAACGATTATGTATGTTAGGTGCCCTCTGGACAATAGACCCTTTGTTTAGTGTTTACTATAGAGTTATCAGTGATATTAGTTATTTTATTTCATGTTTGTCTTATATTTTAATTACTTTGTTTATTATAATAGGTTATTATTTACAGCAGATGCCAAATGTCCGGATTATTAGTAATCCTGGCGTTTGCTGACTAAGGACATTATTTCCCTACTCTTGGCTACTTTTGTCAGAGCTTATAAATAGGGGTAGACTTGACTTTAACATTATTATTTAATTAGATTATATATAATAATTAATATAGTGTTTCAATACCCATGGTAGTATTTGTGGAGGAAAAGTTAAACATTCAACTCTTGTTATATTCTGTGATCAATAAAGTTGGCCCAGTAACTAATACCCTTTTTTAAAAAGGCAAACTTCATATCAACGATATAACATTTATATATGTATTAGTAATTTACTTATTTTTTGCTATTAACAAACTTGTCACTTTTTAATGTCGAATGACGCGTAGCTTGTTTTTAGTTTTTAAGGCCCAGTTGTATAAAAAACTGTTTAACAACAGATAAATAAATTACGGATTAATCAATAATAGACAATTTTGCTGTGCAACACTTGGTTAACCATAATTATGTTTTATTTGGTTAATTTTTAAATTTAAGGGAATTCACTAAAATAATCCCCAGTTAGTAAATTTTCTTATTTGTCAATTGTCCACCTCAAATTCATGTTAATAATTTTTGTTGTTTAGGAAGATTTTAGTAAGTACCTATATTGGTATTCATTTATTTATTTATTGCATACATTAATGTGCAATTGTAAGTACCTAGCTATAATTATATTTCTTCTTGCAGGTGAGTTTTGTGTTACGTTTGTGTTTTTGGTTAAAGTTTTTAATATGTTGTACAAATTATACGAAAAAAATGGATTTAGCAGTAGCTTGTGGGTCAAAAATGAAAGATTGTGGCAAAAGGGTGACTAGTGTGTCTTTTTCTATAAAAAAATATCTGCATATTTGGCACAAATTTTTTGCAATTAATTTTAATAAATTTTCAACTCTATGTACTGATTTTCTGGTAGTATTAAAATTCCTAATTTCAAATTTATTTAAAAGTTCTGTTTTTGGAGTAAAGTTTTTTATTTGAATTTCTCTTTCACTTGTATTTAAAAATTTTACCGGAATTAAGCCATTTTCTGGTTTTCTTGCTCCGATTACGCCTTGTATACTAGAATCGAACTCATCGACTAAAAATTCATGATTTACAATTGTTTCTCCTAATTTAAAATTAATATTTATTGCACCTTTTGAAAAGGCTGAACCTGCAATACCATTTATACTTATATTTTTCTTAAAATCTATACATTCATTCTGATTTAGAGATCCAGGAAAAATTAGATGCACCTGTGTCTAATAAAAATACCCCGGTTTTGGAACGACCTATGAATATTATTGCTATGATTGTTACCACGACTGTTGTTGTAATTACCTTTATTATAATTATTATTGTTAAAATTATTGCGATGCCCGTTATAAAAGGTTTTAGTTTTATTATAGTTGGATCTTTGCATATAAAAATTACGTGTGTTATGTTGTCTAAAATTGGAATCCCTAAAGTTGTTATACTTCCGCATACTAAATATTGACGCAGATGAACGTTTAGCACTATCTTCATCTTTGGCCGCAGCTATCGCGTCTGGTAATAAATCAAAATTACGCGCCTTAATAAGAAATTTTAAATTACTATCGCGTAGCCCGTTAGCAAAAGCGTTTATAGCATGTTTTTCGTTTGAATTGGTAAGTGTCTTTGCTACGTCATCTTTTCAATCAGACTGAGATAATGTTAAATTAACCATTAATTCCTAAATAGTTTTACCAAAGTCACCTACAGATTTTTGTAATTGTTTTGCATTATGCAACTCTATAGAAAGTGCTGCAGCGCATTTTTTAGATATAAATTGTAATTTTATATCACAAAGAAGAGCCTCGGTTGACCCATATTCCGACTTTAATCTTAACCCTTAA